TATGTGTATGTATATATATATGTATGTATATATATATATATATATATATATATATATAGTGGTTTCTAGGTATATCTAATATGATAAAATCATATATAAATATATATCCATATTTATGAACTGCGCATGGGTATTAAAGATTTCAAGTGAAGAATGATAATGTGTGTATTATTCGTTTATTTCTTCGTGTTTCCTTCAATTCTCTTGGCATGTTTCATCCAAACTCCGGAATCTGCAAGAAAAATAAATATATTTATTGTATAAAAAGATCAGTTTAAATATTGAATGATTATTGTTTTAACTAAATTATGAAATAGATTTCAGATGGTAACAATATTCAACTAAATTAAAATCAAAGATACATTTTATTGACCATTTATTAAAGTATAGTATATGAAAACGCAACAAAAAGAATAGCATATGAAGCACATACTAAACTCCATTTTTTCAATTACAAGATCATGTTGCAATCATGAATATATCACCGTAAATGGAAGAAAGAGAATATAGTAGAAAGATATTTTGTTAGTGGAAAGACAGCAAAACAATAATACTTAGGCCTATGATAAACCGATTCACGAACTAAAATATATAGGGCCTAGGCATAATAAATTTTTCCGTTTTCGCAACTCCTTCGGCGCTCCATATATTTGTTCGAAATAAACCGCGACCGAAACGAAGCGCGACCGAAACAAAGCGCGACCGAAACGAAGCGCGACCGAAATGATCGGCTACCAACCGGGAGGGGGTGGTGTAAAGAATTGTATCATTATTTGCAAAAAGTTAATGTATTAAATCTCTAGGCCTATACTAACATAAGGGGTGATTTTATTTCAGGATACTCAAGTCTCAGTTACTATTGTAATTAAGTGAAAACTCAATGCGGTCAACTCAATCTTGTAGTTGAAAGCATTAATGTTTGTTTAAAGACGTATCTGTGAAGGAACAGAAAATTACCTGACATTCTATAATGCTTTAATAAAATAATCGGTTTACGGTTAACCGGGGGGGGGGGTGTAAAGAATTGTGGGGTGGTCTAAAGAATTGTATCATTATTTGGAGAAAGTTAAGGTAATCAAAAGGCCTATACTAACAACATAAATGGTGACATTATTTCAGGATTCTCAAGTCTCAGTAACTACTGTAAGTGAAAACTCAATCCAGTCAACTCAATCACTGTAGTAGGAAAGCATATTAATGTTTGTTTGAAGACGTATCTACGTGAAGGAACAGAAAATTACCTGACTTACTAAAGGTGAATATAATGTTTTGTTGACGTTTTATTTTTACTGTCCTGTACTATTAATTATTAACAACATGCTAAAGTTGATGCTGTAGTTTACACGATAGAGTTTAATCAAATTTAATGTGTATATATTAGGCATATAGGCCTTAAGTGATATTGAAAAATGTAGGCTAAGCTGTTTTGAGAACTAAAAAAATTGTTTTTTTTAAATTAAAAAAGAAGTAACTGCTAGTCTGTCATTAGATACATATATGTATATTACTCCTATTTCAATACAATAATAAAGGGATGTAATACATTTAATAGCGGTTTCTATAATATGTGCTCTATATGCTGTATAAGTTTACCATTATTATTCTTTTTAAAGATTTTGTTTTGTTATACTGTATCTTTCAGCAAGAGTGAACTCCGAAAAATGTTAGTACAAGTCACAGTGATTCAATATTTCAAAACAGATTTGTTCAACGGCATAATTCATACTAATTAGCTTGACAAGAAAAGGCATGGTTATGGACAGTTGCTGCTACAATATCACAAAGAATGCTGGTTTATGCACACCTGTAACACAAATGGTTCTTGAATATTGTTTTATATAATAAACTCTTGTATTAGGACTACATTACGAAAAAAATGCTTATTTAAACCACTGTAAAGCAGCCTTGAATTTGAGGTACAGTATGTTTAGCAGTAAGACATTAGCAAAACGATTATAAATGAAAGGGTATGCTAGTAAATGAGACCCTAGGGAAGTAATGTCCCTACCGTATGATGTTTGTTGGTGTTTTAAATTAAAGAAATTATGGTTTGTATATGAACTCATAGTGTATTTTGTAAGTCTGCAGAAGCTGATTAAAGCCATTGTTACCAAGTGGAACTGGGACCATTGCAAACCAATTGGAATTGGGGCCAGTTAATTTTGGAGACCAGTTGAATTGTCCAAAAACACACAGTACCCACATTTAAAAAAAAATAGAATACACAGATTTTCTCTATAAAATCGTTCAATTTATATACACATTCTATACAATTGTATAGAATTTCTATTCGCATATTTAATGTATTTTTATAGGTTTTTCTATAAAATGTTTATAGATTTATAAGTGGTTTTTATAAAATTGTTTATAGATTTTCTATATTTTTTTAAAGGTTTTTTTTTATATATAAAATTTTCATAGACTTTCTATAGATTTTTAATAGAATTTTCATAGTTTTTTATATAATTTTTATAGATTTGTAAGTCTTTTAATATAGTTTTAATATATTTTTATAGAGTTTTTATAAATTTTTTATAGTTTTTTTATATAATTTTAATAGATTTTTAATAGAGTTTTATTAGATTTTTAATATAGTTTTAATAGCTTTTTAATAGACTTTTTATAGTGGCTTCTATAGTTATTTCTATAGATTTTCTAAACAATTATGCTATAGACATACTATAGTTGTTTTTTTTTTATAGAATTCTATAGAATTTTTTTGTATGAGCACTTCCCCTAACCTATCGACCTTAACATTTAATTCGGTGAACTGAGTATTCACCGTCGAATCTAGTTGGGTTAGCTGGGTGCATAGATGTCAATCACAACCCGTGTGTCTCACTGTCTAAGAGTTAATAATCTCTAGGGCATCCAAGCGTTCATTTCATTTCTTTATTACCATTCTAGGTGTGTCCCTCTGGTCAGTGACACTCGGGCGACATAAACCAGAGAATCCGGTCTCATCACTCCTTTTCTTATCCCGCCTTGACCGCCTAACCATAGTGTATGGCTCCCCATCTTCCTCCCCCTCCCAGAAATGGCAGGATGCCACAGTACCCCGGCTCTTTTTGGAGGGACTGGGGAGTATGCAGACTCCTCAGTACTAGTACTGTCCTCGCCTAGCTGGTGGGAGGGAAAACCTATGGAATGGTTCCCCTATGGAATGGTTCCAATATTTTGGTGAGCAACCCACGAAGTCATCCTCATCTCTCACATTAGGGAAAGATGGAGTGAGATGAAGCGACATTGAAGGTTCAAGATGTTCCTCCGTACCCCATTTAGTCTTACCACTTCTTAAAAGGATAACCCTTGGGAACACCACTACAAGTTGAGGAGGAGCCTCCTGGGGACTCGCCACTAGTATTAACACTTACTCGCTTCCCCCTATTCTATGAGTATTGAGGGTCAGAATCACTATCCCCAAAAGACTTGGACTTCCGTCCGGCGCTTAAAGATGTGCCGCTCGGTGACATCCCCCTTGATTGTCTGGATAGACCACCCGACGAAAATGCAGTTTTATGTTTACGGGCCGACTTCCTCAAGTGCCTATCCCTTTGACCCTCGGCTTCCTTATAGGTGAAAACAGCTACACACCCTAGGTATAAAAGTAGTTCCCCAAATTTCACTTCCCTACAACCGAGACAAAACCTAAACATGGCATGATCTTCTTCCAATTTTCTGAAAGAGACTTATACGCTTTATAGGTAAGGGTTTGCACTCTATCTGCCCAGTCTTCAATAGATTCACCATCTGCTTGTGAGGCCGATGTCATTTTGGCTTCTCTAAACAAGTCCTTAGAAGTAGCAGAAGGAAGGGTTTCTGTATACAATCCCCCTCCCCCAATACCATTTAACACAGTATTTGGTAAAAAGTCAAAATAACCAAGATAGATTTAGTAATATTGCCATTCCGTGACCTCCAGCCTTTAATACATTTAGCTAGTTTTTCACTGGCATTCGGCACAGTGCAAAGGTCATCGATAAAACAATAATTAATGAAGACTCGTTTAAATCTAGGCATTATTGCAAACTGTCTGTATTAATACAAAAATCAAAGAATAGTAATATAAAAATTTGCCAAGGCGCAAAGATCAAGACTACACACACAAAGATCTTGAAAAATACAATTAAAGTTTGGTTAAAGTACAATTCATAAAAACAGGCTATAATTGCAATGCATTGATCAAAACACCTATTTATATTGCGTACAAATATCGCTTAAGTAACAATGAAAATGAACACCTGTGGAGAAAACCTAATTAGAATGACACAAATATGGCTGGAACGGTAAAAGGAATGCCACAACGAATTCTCTCATGCGTGTACTTACGAGTTTGTCATGCACCTTTCACTAAAAACGTTAAAAATTCCTACCATTTCCTAGTATAGATGTGTATAAGAGACAGCAGCAAGAGTGAACTCCGAAAAATGTTAGTACAAGTCACAGTGATTCAATATTTCAAAACAGATTTGTTCAACGGCATAATTCATACTAATTAGCTTGACAAGAAAAGGCATGGTTATGGACAGTTGCTGCTACAATATCACAAAGAATGCTGGTTTATGCACACCTGTAACACAAATGGTTCTTGAATATTGTTTTATATAATAAACTCTTGTATTAGGACTACATTACGAAAAAAATGCTTATTTAAACCACTGTAAAGCAGCCTTGAATTTGAGGTACAGTATGTTTAGCAGTAAGACATTAGCAAAACGATTATAAATGAAAGGGTATGCTAGTAAATGAGACCCTAGGGAAGTAATGTCCCTACCGTATGATGTTTGTTTGAGTAATAAATTAAAGAAATTATGGTTTGTATATGAACTCACAGTGTATTTTGTAAGTCTGCAGAAGTTGATTAAAGCCATTGTTACCAAGTGGAACTGGGACCATTGCAAACTAATATGCCTATAAATCAGTATTATTGTTCATATCGTTATTATCATTAGTTTTTGTGGCTACTGAAAGTAGCTACTATGCCATCGAATGGTTTGCCGAGGTAAGTGACTGTGAATCTCGGTAACAGTCGTCACCTTTGATCACGAGCCGACTACCAATCAACGCTCATTATAATTTCTTACGACTATTTCCAAGAAAATAAGAAAGTTTACGAATTCGGAATGTTACGACGTTGCGAAAATTACTGGACACTCAGCGGATCGTTTTTAGTTTTATGTTATGTTAGGTACCTGCCTCCACGTTATTTTTTTTTTTTTTATGTGCGATGACAAACTAAAATAGTTCTTTGTAGGTGGACTATGTTTGATTTCACTAAATTTGATAATTTTAGGCCTAGTTGAGCTAACTGTTTCCATGTGTTACTATTATATAGTATTATTACTAAATGAAAATTTGTTTTGACGTTTCATTTCGAGTCTTTTTCCGTGAGTTTCCGTTTTATAGGCTAGCTATAGACCTAGTATGCTGATTTATCATTGGCCCGCCTGTGGAGCGACAATTTTTCTCGTACGTCGTCGACTCAGGCCCTTGCTAGAACTATAATGCCTTAGCCTAGTTTACCGTACATAACGAACTAGTAGCAGTCTGGCTTAATCATAAACTAATACTTTAGGACAAGATGTGATTTATACAGAATCTCAGAATATTCAGCACTTCAAGGATGGCATTCCACGGAGAGGAGAGCCTATTAGGACTAGGCCTAGCCTACTTACTTAAGTTAGGTAGGGAGTGCTACGAGGGAGTTATTGGTTCTACTACGGTCATTTCAGCAGCCATGTTTATACAAATTACAACATATAAGTTTAAAAAAAAACATGTTGTTGTAGCTAGGTAAGTAGTAGGACTATTGCTAATGAAACTATAGGGCCGCCTAGGCTAGGTAGGTAAACATATCTGGCTAAACGACCTACCGTATGGATCTAGGCAACACTGTATATGTACCTTTGACGATTTATATTATATTTATTCAACAGTGTTAACGGATCTCTCTTCAATATATACGACAGTATTTCTAGCCGTATAGCCAGATTTATCTGGCCGAACGCCCTCTTGAGGCGTAGCATTGTGTAATACAATGTTCCCGACGGTTATTTGGACCTGTTCAACCATGAAGCCTTCGTGGTCTAGTGGTTATGACGCTCGCCTTGTCAGCGTGAGGTCGCAGGTTCGAATCCCGTCTGAGGAATTTTATTACACAATGATTTTTATAGGACTTTATTCGTTGAAAAGTTACAGGGTAGCCTACGATCTTCCATCATGTCCTTATTTAAACACTGTATATGTACCTTTGACGATTTATATTATATTTATTCTACAGTGTTAACAACTAAATCCCTTCAATATCATATATATATATATACAAATTATATAGATAAGTTCTGAGTAAGTTTCAAAGGTTAGTTAATAATATTCAATATTAGTCAAGTTATATGCATATTAATGCATTCTATACAAATTAAAATTAATAATAAATATAAATAAAATATAGACAAATGTAAATACGTATATACATACATACATACATATAAAGAAATAACAAATATATTGCAACAATATAAATATATTAAAAACAATATATTACAGTAACATAACATATTTAAAACATTAGAATATATATATATATATATAATATATATATAATATATATACATATATACATAAATATATACATATATACATAAATATATTATATATACATACATATATACATATATATACATATCTGTCTCTTATACACATCTAGATGTGTATAAGAGACAGTCCTAATTTTGAGTCCAAATATATATATATACATATATATATGTATATACATATATATATATATATATATATATATCTTAAATTAATTTAGATTATGAAACGGTAGCAAAATTGTAAACCAATACTACTGCAAGGGTACTAATATTCAATATTAGTCAAGTTATATGCATATTAATGCATTCTATACAAATTAAAATTAATAATAAATATAAATAAAATATAGACAAATGTAAATACTTATATACATACATACATATATTACAACAATATAAATATATTAAAAACAATATATTACAGTAACATAACATATTTAAAACATTAGAATATATATATATAATATATATAATATATATACATATATACATAAATATATACATATATATACATATATTATACATATACATACATATATACATATATATATATACATACATATATACATACATACATATATATATATACATATATATACTGTACATACATATATATATACACATACGTATATACATATATATATATACATATATATTTATATACATATATGCATATACATATATTATTGTTACGACATGTGAAGATGAGGTAACAGAAAGAGTGAGACCGACAACAGTTTTACAAATTTAAACTAACTAAATGTTTATTATATAAATACGAATAATATAAATGAAATAATTCGGTACAAAATACATGAAAATACTTGCTCTGGTTTAGCTACCGTCGCTCAAATTAAATCTTCAGTTCAAAATTTGAATTGTTCAAGTCAGGTTGTGTAAAAGTAAAAATGTTCAAAGCAAAAATTGTTCAAAGTCCAACACCATCAAGCTCCACACAGGCTGTCCCACGAATTGTCTTTCTCTATTGATCACATCTCGACAACTAACTCATCATCTCTCAAACATCGTTATTTAACAAGTCTTAAGTCATTCACCCCTTTTCATGGTTTTACTCCCTTTCTCAAAAACTACACCCTTCTACATACCTACTGTCTTACACATCCCCATCTCTTCAATCACAATTACTAACCACGATGATTAAAGCACCACAAAACTCACACTTTCACTTCTTGGACATTGAACTTTAAGATGTACGTGTAAATAATTATAATGATGAAACTGACAGTGGTAACACTTCCCCCTTAAAGGAAAGAAAGATTTATGCAATAAATCTTTCTTTGTTTTTTACTAAAACAAAAGATAATAATATTGTTGAATATATAGCACAACGTAAAAGTATAATACAGTATAAGTAAAATCAATCAAGATTCATGCAAAACAAAGTATACATTAGCTAAAACTAAAATAGCATAATTAAGCAAAAAAAAAATATATAGGGTAATGTATGAATTCAAAATTAATAGGTAATTACATGCAAATCAAGCAGAATCATAAAACTTTCAAATAGCAAACATATCAATTGTTTACGGCTCATGATTTAGACTCGAGACAAAGCATCGGGGACTAAGTTATCTTTTACCTTAATGTGCTGAATTACCAGGTCATATTCTTGTAGGATTAAACTCCACCTCATCAAACGTTGATTATTGTTCTTCATTTTATTTAAAAATATGAGGGGATTATGATCGCTGAAAACAGTTAGGGGTTTAACAGAAGATACATAAACATCAAAATGCTGGAGTGCTAAAATTAAAGCAAGGCACTCTTTCTCAATCGTGGAGTAATTTTTTTGATAACGATTGAATTTCTTTGAGAAATAGCATACCATCGTCGTCTTCCTGTAAAAGTACGCCCCCAGCACCAATATCACAAGCATCGACGGCTAATTTAAAATCAATATCAAAATTTGGTGCTGAAAGAACTGGTGTGCTTTTAAGTACGGCTTTAAGTTTGTCAAAGGCGAGTTGACATTGGTCTGACCAAATAAATTTCACCCTTTTTCTTAGTAAATTAGTTAAAGGGGCAGCAATAACAGAAAA